GTCCCTTCTGGAGCAGGATTTCCCACTGGCAGCTTTGGGAAGGAGAGGGCTGCAGGAGGAAAATTCTCTGTGCACAGTCTGTGTCTCCAGGGGTGCCCTCAGCACTGCAGAGGGGTGAGGGCTGATGCTCTGCACCCACCCTGCATCCCAAACCAACCCCATCCCTCCCCTGGCACGGGAAAGGATGGGCTGGGAGTCCTTGGGGAGTGTCCATGGAGGTGACAAACCCCAAAGTGTCCCCCCCACCTGGGGTGTCCTCCCTCCTCAGGTCCTGCCTGGGGTTTTCCCAGTGCTGCATTGGCAAAGGGCCCCAGGAGGACCCACCAGGTTCTAGATTAACAGGGGTGGCTTCAGTGTCATCCTTTCCTTTTCCAGAGGTTCAGGGACCTCTCTGCATGTTCCATGCCCTGGAATTAATTCCAATGGCAATAATGTTGTCCCCAGGATAATTCCCTGTGCAGATCCCTCCCTCAGGGAGCCAGATCGTGTGGAGGATCCTCTTTGCACATCCCAGCTGCTCTCTAGGCTGTGGCAGGGACAGCAGGAGCAATCCAGGTCCACTCTTCCCTCATGGATCTGCTCTCCCAGGGGCTGTTCCATGAAGGATTTACATTTCACCTTCCTCCTGCACACCCCAGATTCCCTGGCATGGCTGCAGTGAAGGTGGAGAGCTGAGGAGAGCCACGTGTTCAGACCCGTGGCCTGTTCCTGTCACCTGCTCTGGCTCAGAGTTACAGATATTTGCAGCTGAGATCGCAGAATCACAGGATCAAGGAATGGTTTGGGTTGGAAGGGATGTTCAGGACCATCCCATTCCATCCCACTTCTTTCTGGTCTGGGTTGCTCCAAGCCCCATCCAGCCTGGCCTTGGTCTGGAGAGGGACTGGGGACAAGGGATGGAGGGACAGGACACAGGGAATGGCTCCCAGTGCCAGAGGGCAGGGATGGATGGGAGATTGGGAATTGGGAATTGCTGGCTGGGAGGGTGGGCAGGCCCTGGCACAGGGTGTCCAGAGAAGCTGTGGCTGCCCCTGGATCCCTGGAAGTGCCCAAGAGCTGGCCCCTGAAGGATCCCAGGACACGAGGACCAGCCCCTGCAGGATCCCAGGACACGAGGACCAGCCCCTGAAGGATCCCAGGACACAAGGACCAGCCCTGCAGGATCCCAGGCCATGGCACTATCTGAGCCCTGAGTTGAGGGGCAGATTCAGCCCAGGCTGCAGCTCCTGGTTTCTTCTCAGAGACAGCCTTGAATCCAAAAGTCAGGCACTCCTGGCTGGAGCCAAAAGCCAATTAGCAGCAGTTTAGCTTCATCAGCTTCCTGACTGAATGCAAGTTTTAATTAAACATCCCATTTTAATTAGTCAGGCATCATGTACAGAGGGCTGGCCTCAAGATTCAAAGGCTGCAGGTCCTGTGCTTTTAATTAAAAGAAAGACTCGCATGAGTTCAACTCCAGCATCTGTGACAGCTCCTCAGCCTTTGGAGGGCAGGAGCAGAACAGCTGGGAACAGCTCCTTTCCCTGCCATGGCATTCCTCTCCTCTTCTGCTTCCATGGGGATGCTCCAGTGGGAGAACTGGCTGGGAGGTGACTTGGTTGGAAGGAGAGAAGAGACAGGGCCTGGTTGCACTTCTTGGGGTGTCAGAGCAGGCCCTGAGCTCTTTTGGTGAGTTTGATGTTGGTTGGCAGCAGCTGAACGTGAGCCCAGGTGGGCAGAGAGGTCAAAGGCACCTGGCTTGTACCAGCCACAGAGTGGCCACAGGAGCAGGGCAGTGACTGCCCCCTGTGCTGGAAAGGACAAAGAGGGGCTGGAGCTTGTCCAGAGAAGGGAACGGAGCTGGGAAGGGTCTGGAGCCCCAGGAGAGGCTGAGGGAGCTGGGAAGGGGCTGGAGAATTGCTGAGGGAGCTGGGAAGGGGCTGGAGAATTGCTGAGGGAGCTGGGAAGGGGCTGGAGAATTGCTGAGGGAGCTGGGAAGGGGCTGAGCCTGGAGCAAAGGAGGCTCAGGGGGCCCTTGTGGCTCTGCACAAGTCCCTGGCAGGAGGGGACAGCCGGGGGGGTCGGGCTCTGCTGCCAGGGAACAGGGACAGGAGGAGAGGGAATGGCCTCAGGCTGGGCCAGGGGAGGTTTAGATTGGATATTGGGGAAAATTCCTTCCTGAAAGGTTTGTCCAGCCCTGGCACAGCTGCCCAGGACAGGGCTGGACTCACCGTTCCAGGAGGGATTTAAAAGCCGTGTGGATGTGGCACTGGGGGACACGGCTCAGAGGTGGCCTTGGCAGTGCTGGGGAACAGCTGGGGACTCCCACGATCTCAGAGGACTTTCCCAACCTCACCAATTCTGTGATTTCATGATCCTGCCTGGTGCCAGAACCTGCAAACAAGCTGGGGTTTGAAATGGGACCGACTTCCTGCTGTCCTGTCCTGTCCAGCACCGCTGAACTTGAGGCTTTTCCTGGTGGCTGGAGCTGTCACACCCATCCAGCCTCCAAAAATAACCAGCCCAGCTCCCTCAAAGTTCACTTGGGTGAGCTCCATCACCAGCAGCTGGGTTGTACAGGAGGAAAGCCAGAGCAGTTGTGACCATGCAGAGTTAAAATGATGCTTTTCTCCCATCTCTTGGAGCCTGGAGCCCCTCAATCTTCTGCACCAGCTGCTCTCATCCCTGTGCTGGGACAAAGGAGAATGAGAGGGTGACAGAAATCCCTTTGTCAGCCGTGCCTGGGGAGGAGGAGGGTTATGGAGAGAGGACAGATTCTCTCCCTAAGTGCTCTGGGGACAGAGAGATTGAAATGCTTAGCTCCCATTAATGCAAATGTGAATCACAGAGGTCTCTTCTCACCGCCTTGCAAGGAGAGCACTGAGAAAAGAGGGCAGCTCTCCTCAAAGAGCAATCTCCCTTGATTTTAAGGCATGGGTAAATGGGATTTTTCTTCATTTCACACTCATTAATTTCCCTGCCTGTGCTAGTTGAGGGCTGGCACCCCAGCACATGGGGTGGCTGGATGGTCCCGTGGATGGAGGCTCCCGACCCCAAAAAGCCACGACGGTTTTGTTGTGGCGTGGAGATGCCAAGTGCAGCATTCCAGGTTGTTGCAGAGAGGGGAAATCCTTCCAGTGTGTGTCAGAAATATTAACAGCTCTTGTGGACGACTCCAGGGCCTGAAGGGGCTCCAGGAGAGCTGGAGAGGGACTTGGATAAGGGATGGAGGGACAGGACACAGGGAATGGCTTCATTCTGGGGCAGCTCCAGCATGAAGGGGACCCACCCTGGAGATGGGAGTGAAGCTCCTGCTGGTGAAAAGCTGAACCTTGGAGCTCCTGTGCCCACCCATGTGTAGGAACTGGCCTTAAAATGATGGGAAAATTGCATTTACCAGGCTGGAGAATGCTCCTCACTCACACTGGAGGCATCAGGAGCACCTGGAGCAGAGGGAAGGGCTGAGCTGACAAAGGGGTGCAGTGGGACCACAGGCAGGGATGCTCTGAGCTGATGGAGCAGCTTTTTGTGGGGGCTCCAAGCTTGCTGCCCCACGGGAGCCATTCTGCTGCGGGTCTGGGGGTGTCTGGGGTGAAGGAGCTTTCATGGACAGCACACACAGAGCTCTTATGAAACGTTAAACTCACTTTTAAAAAGCTTTCCCATCAGGAAAGCCTCAAAGAATTATGTTGATCTAAAGATACCCTCGATGAAATGTGTGTTAATGGGGGGAAAAAAAAAATGAAATAAAAGCCTTCTAAAGACTTTAAAGGGAAAAAAAATAACAACCAACCCCAACCCAACATGCTGCAATTTTAATGAGGAGCTTGTAAACACAACCAACCCCTGCTGATTTTTTCCATTAATTGCCTGTGTCTTCAGGGGCTGGGGCCCTGCAGAAACACAGCTCTCAGCAAAACACCTTGCTGGGCTTGGGGCATCTTCCCAAATCCAGGAGGGCTGAGGAGGGTGGTGGAGGCTCTGGAAGAGGCTGGGTTGTCCCTGCAGGGCTCTGACCTTGCCTGGGGGAGGGAGGAGGGATGGGGGGGGACCTGCTGAGCTGATTTAGCAATCCCATTTTTATTAGAGATGCATTTGCTGATTAGCTCCACATCCTCACGACTCGGGCACGATAAATTACAGAGGAAATGCAGGAAGCACTTGGGTGAGATTAACATCTCCCAGGGAAGCAGCAGAGGGGTCATTTTCTGGGCCATTATTTTCTGGGCCTTTAAAGGCTCTGCAAGGTGGCAGCGCTGGGTTTTGTTCCTGATTCCTTGATTTCAGCAGAGCCCTGCTCCCCTCTCACTTCCCATCACCCACATCCTGATCCCTGGAAGGATGGACACAGTGGATTTTTGGAGATTTGGGGGGACATCAGCCACCTTCCCAGCTCCCTTCTGTGTCTTCCTCAAAGAAAGATCACCCCAAAAAACCCTCAAACCACAAAAGAGGCAAAATCTCTCCCAGAGGAAAATTGCTGAGGGTGATTTGCTCTTGAGACAACCCAAACACTGCTGGAATCGGGAAAGGGGGAGACTGGGAAGATTTCCTGAGTGTTTGGGAAGTGCCATGGGAATGAAAAAGCATTTGATGAACATAATGATGGTCATTAGCACGTTCTGCTGCTCAGCCCAGCACGGCCAGGGCTGTGGGAGTGTTCCCACTCCAAAGGGGGAAGGAGCAGTGGGTGTTCTGCAGGAACCTTCACCTGGCCTGTGCTCTCAGCACAGATCCTGCAGGATTTCTGCTGATTCCCTGCAGGACACAGATCCAGGGGAGGGAGCAGATGGCTCGCTGTGAGACCCAGGGTGGATGTGGCTTGTCCCTGATCACCCAGGGATGCCTGTGGAGGAGGAGGACACGGGATATCTGCTTTCCCAAAGCCAGGGTCTCCGAGATGATGGTTAACCCTGCTTTTCCTCTCCTTGCTCTCAGGCACACACACCTTGGTGGGATGCCTGTCCCAAATCCCACCCAATCCAGGGGGATGGAGGAGTCCTGGACATGGAAATGACTTTTCTCTTTGCTTCCCCCACAGAGCCAGCTTTCCCAGGCCCTGAATGGTTTGTCAGACAGAGCCAAGGAGGCAAAGGAATTCCTGGTCCAGCTCCGCAACATGGTGCAGCAAATCCAGGTACGGAGTCTCCAGGCTGAGAAACTGCCCCTTCCCACCAGGATGAGCCATTCCCTGTCCCTCTTCCCGAGCTTGGTGTGCTGGGTGCTCTCCCAAAGGAACCCACACCTCCCTTTCCATGTCACCCCCCTGAACCCCCCCAGAACCGCAGAGTCCTGAGCCCTTCCCATCCCTGCCCTGGCTGGATCCAAACCCTGCCCTGGGTGGATCCAAACCTGTTCCTCACCTGCCACCACCTCGTTTTCCACGTTTTTGCCACCTCATTTTCCACGATACCCAATGCTGTGGATTCCTGGGTGGCTGCACGTGCAAAGATGACCCGTGTGGCACCACTAGAAAGGAAAATCCAGTTTTCCAGCTGGACTGGGGACATTCCCTGGGCTCTGACCCCCTCTTGCCCCACAGGAGAACAGTGTGGAGTTCGAGGCCTGCCTGGTGGCCCAGTGTGACGCCCTCATCGACGCCCTCAACAGAAGGAAAGCCCAGCTGCTGTCCCGGGTCAACAAGGAGCATGAACACAAGCTGAAGGTGAGCCTGGGTGGTCAGAGAGCTTCCAGCAGGGTTGGCACTGGCTGGGAAGGAGGATTGGGCTGCTGGTTTTTTGGGGAGGTCATTGGAAAGCCACTCCTTTTCCACCTGAGTTCCATCTCGCTGCAGATGCCAAACTCGCAGCGTGTCCCTGACAAAGTGCTGCTCCCTCCAGGTGGTTCCCACTGAATTATCGGGTTCATTTCTAGTCCTTAGGTCAGCAGAACCACGTGTACAGCATGGAAAGTGACTTTGTTCATGTCCCACGGTGCTCCCAAGCTTGTGGAATGGTGCTGCAGGATGCTGAGTGCTTGTAACCTCTGCTGAGGTCCTGAGGGCCATGGTCATGAGCTGTCAGCAGGAGCAGGATTATTCTGATTTCTCTGCTTTCCTGGCCTCGGGGTGGTGCTGGCACTGAGATTTTTGGTGTTGGGGAGCAGAGGTGCAGCTCAGTGGCAGCTCCTGGTTTGTGTCATTCCCTCTGTCAGCACTCCACGTCTTTCCAGCTGATGTGGGGCTGAGAAGCGAAGCCAAGCACCAGATCTCAGCTGGGAGCAGTGCAACAGGTGCAGCCCTGCCCAGAATTGTTGGACAAGGGGGTTGCACCCTGGCCATGGGTGCTGGAGTCCAGCTGAGAGATGTCACACCCACATTTGTGATCCCAGGGTCCCTCTCCCGAGGTCATTTCAGTGCTCTGCCTTCTGTATCTCTGGACCTTGCTTTGGGTCACCCAGGAGGCTGCAGAGGGATTCCTGGAGCTGCCTCAAACGAGGGTGAAGGCCACCAGTGCTCTCTGCATGGGACCATTCCCATGGGGAGAGGGACAATGGCAGCTTTGTGGGACAGAGCCCACCATCAGTGCTCACTGCCAGCAGCAAGGGACAACCCCAAAGAGCCACAGCACAGAGGGGACCCCCAGAGCCTGGGGGGCTCCTTTTCCCTCATCCCCTTCAGGGCATGCTTAATTAAACTCTCACAAAGCCAGGCAGCACAAAGCAATTTCCCTGCTCAGCACAACCCACAGAGGCCTTTGGCTGGAGGAATGGGTCTGAATCCCACTGCTCCTGTCCATGGATCTGCATCCCACTGCTTGTTCCTGTCTATCCATGGATCTGAATCCCACTGCTCCTGTCCATGGATCTGCATCCCACTGCTGGTTCCTGTCCATGGATCTGCATCCCACTGCTCCTGTCCATGGATCTGAATCCCACTGCTCATTCCTGTCCATCCATGGATCTGAATCCCACTGCTCATTCCTGTCCATACCTGGATCTGCATCCCACTGCCTGTTCCTGTCCATGGATCTGCATCCCACTGCTCCTGTCCATGGATCTGAATCCCACTGCTTGTTCCTGTCTATCCCTGGATCTGCATCCCACTGCCTGTTCCTGTCCATGGATCTGCATCCCACTGCTTGTTCCTGTCTATCCATGGATCTGCATCCCACTGCCTGTTCCTGTCCTGTGGCCTCCATCCCACCCCCATCCACCCTTGTTATGGGCTGGGCTTTGTCATGGGCCCGGTCCTTAAAACAAGAAAGGGTTTGTGGCAGGACTCTTAAATTAGCCCTGGAGTTTCACTCCCTGACCCTCCCTGACGTGCCCTGGGAAGGGCAGGGAGGGCTCTATGGCACCTGAGCCTCATCCAGTTAGAACCAGGATCATGGAATGGTTTATCTTGGGAAAGATCTCAAATCCCACCCAGTCCCACCCCTGCCATGGCAGGGACACTTTCCACTGTCCCAGGCTGCTCCAAGCCCTGTCCAGCCTGGCCTTGGGCACTTCCAGGGATCCAGGGGCAGCCACAGCTGCTCTGGGCACCCTGTGCCAGGGCCTGCCCACCCTGCCAGCCAGGAATTCCTTCCTCACAGCTCATCTGATGTTCCCACTGGAGTGGGTGAAGCTGCAGTGATTTACACTCACTCTGAGATGACCTTGGGCCCATTTCCATCTGCAGATAAGCAAGAGGTCACCTCCTGGCCTGTGCTTTCTGTGGAATTGTGACCAGGGTGAGTCCTGCAGGACTGTGGGGATCATCCTGGGTGATGCTCACATCAGCACAGGACACTTCTGAGCACTGACTTGTGCTGGGAACTTCTCCCTTTCCCACAGGAGGCCTGTCCTGTGTGAACACTTGTCCCTGTCCTGGAGCCTGTCCCGCTGGGAGATGAGTGCTCACAGAGAGCAGGGAGCCTTGGCAGTGCCAGGGAGCCCTGCAGATCCAAGCTGCTGTCCTGGAGCCGTGTCTCCATGGCTGCAGCTGCTGCCCAGGGGATGTTGGCAGGAGGGAGCGGGGACAGGCACAGGGGGACAGAGCCAGCCCCTGGCAGGGGCCACAGGCACCTCTGAGGACACAGCCCAAGCTCCCAGGCTGAGTTCCCATCTCTGTGTGCCTGGATCTGGGGTGGGCTTGGCTTTGGGGCTGCCCTGCTTTGTGCTGACACACATTCCATGGAGGCAGGCACTAATCCAGGCCTGACTCTGGGCCAGCACTAATTGCTCCAGAGCAGGGAGAGCCTTGTGAGGACACCAGCTTGGAAGGGACATCTCCCTGCCCTTCTCCAGCCTCCCACTGCAGCTGGATTCAAGACTGAGAACCTGGGCTTCAACAAACAACTTCTGCAGGAGCCCTGGGGCCTGCTCCTCCTCCCTGTGGTCCTGAGGAGCAGTGGGGTCATTCCCAAGGGATGATGTCCTCCAGCACAGGCAGCTTTATGCAGGGGACACAGAGGCTTCCCTGGAGTGTTGTCCCAGGAAGAAATCTCTCCTCATCCCACCACACACACAGACTGAGCACCTCCTGAAGCTCTCAGCAGCACTGTGGACCATTCCAGTCATTTTTCCAGCCTTCAGGCCACGGGATGCCTTTGCTCCATGGTTTCTCCAGGCTGCTTTGGCTGTTCAGGCAGGCAGCATTTGCCACATTTCCCAAATTACACTCAGCATAAAGGGGATTTTATCTGTGGCACTGGATCTCCAGAGGTGAAATGCTGCTCCTTCTCCAAGGCTGCAGTCAGGATTTTCCAATGGAACCTGGTGTTCCCCATGGGATCGGGTTCCTGGTGACACAGCAGCTCTGCTTCTCCCAGCTTTGAGTCACCATGGAAACACCCACCTGGAAAAAGCTCTGGATTCAGCTCATTCAAACCTTGCCAGGGTCTGTCCTGGCAATTTTTCCATCTGGGATTTTTCCATCTGGGTGTGCAGCTCCGTGGTGAAGCTCAGGACACCCCACTCCATCCCCAGGGTGACCCAGGGTGAGGAGGATCCGTGTCCCCCCTGTGACATTCCCAGCAGGACCCATCCCAGGCACTGGGAAGGTTGTGAGTGCCTTGAAATCTGTTATCCACTGGAGTACTAAAAAAAAAAGGAAGAAGGCAGTTAAATAGAGCTGAGTGGAGATGTTATTGCCTTCTAGGAGCTGTATTAAAATTAAAATGTAAATTATAGTTAATGTCATCTCGGTGAAGAAAAGCTCTGGAAAGAACTGTCCTTCTTTTAGGGTCGTGGTGAACTTCTGGGAGTGCACAAAAACCCCTTTTTATAGGCTGGAATTAACAGCCAGGTGCTGGCTGTTGTCTTATTTAGCACTTAAATTGAGGGGGGAAGAATGGTATTTGCTAAAAATGACCACAAATTGTATGGAGCTTCCCAAATCCCCTCAAAATCTGAGCTGCTAAAGAGCCCAGCTGGGATCAATCTCTTTGAGGTAACAGCCTCAAGAAGTTGTTTCAGGGGAGATTTAGGATATGATTTTTGGGTATGAGGGGAAATTTCTTCATGGAAAGGGTTGTCCAGATCATCATCCCTGCATGTTCTAAAGCCCACGTGGATGTGGCAGCTTTTCCTGGGAATCTGGTGCATCCTGTGAGTCCCTCAAGGCCTCCCAAGGCTTGAGGAGCTCCCAGATTTCCCTTCCAGCTCTCCCCATCGACAAACTCTGCATTGTTGGGGTAACAGGGAGTAGAAATCCCTCAGGCCTGAGGAGAATCCCTGGATTCTGTGGCTTAAGGCCACATGGAAAACACTTCGGCTTTACTGACCCCACTGGGTTTAGACCAGGCCTTCAAACGTGTGAGAGATGTTTATGTCTTATTTCCAAAGCCTTTAATTTTACATCTCAAAGTGATGGATGGAATTTTTCTGTCCTGTGTGCATCCCATTTCTCCTTTAAAGCCACGAGGCCCCACTAGATCCCAACCAAAGATCTCTCTTTTTGCCTTAAAAAAAGAGTGCTTAAAAAGGTCCTGGTGAAGGCAACGTGGATTTCTCCTCTTGGCTTTTGTGCTGCAGAGATGCTGAAATGAAAATGTTTGTTTTATTCCCTGGTTCTCCAGATGGATGATGCTGGATCCCTGAGGGGATCAGAGCTAGGGAAGGGCTGGGAAAGAGCTGAAGCTTTGGATTCACCTGGAACAGCCTCCCTGGGAGTTTGGGGTGTCTCCACTGCTGGAGGCTCCACAGCCTCTTTTTTCTGGTCTCTGACCACTTTTGTAGAATAAGAAAAAAGCTTTTATTCTGTCTTCAGCCAAATGCTGTTCCCTGGAGCTGGTGCCAGGCTGGAGGGAGCAGATGGCAATTCTGCTGGAAATACTTGGAAAGCGTCAGCTCCAGCAGGGAGAGCTTCACAAACTCATTATCCTGGGCAAACCAGACAGAGATTTAAGCTGCAAAGAAGATAAGGAGATTGTTTTAGCAATCCCATCTTTGCTGCCTTCCCAAGGGCACGTGCATTTCACCTCAGAGGGCTCTCACGTGGGCGGCTTTTCCAGGTGGGATCCTCGCTTGCCGGTCTGGAGCCCAGCAGGCAGGGAATGCAAAACCTCTGGCATGGCTGCTACGGTCAGGATGTGCTCCAGCAGCAGGGCTGGACCCCACAGAACAGTTTTGGGAGACCCAACATCCACACAGGCAAAATCCCTTCCAGGGGCAGGCAGCTTCTGAGCCCTCACCCTGAGCAGGAGGGGCCACACGAAGCCAAAATGCTGCTCTGCACCCCCCTGCACCTTCTGGATCCTGCCCTGAAGGACTGAGCATCCCTGCTGAGAAAGGAAATCCAGGGCCTTGCAGGATCAGGAAGGTCAGTGTAGGAGTGGGATCTCCAGGACCAGCTGTTGGCTCTGCTTTATCCTTCCAGGACCTGCAGGGGCTCCAGGAGAGCTGGAGAGGGACTGGGGACAAGGGATGGAGGGACAGGACCCAGGGAATGGCTCCCAGTGCCAGAGGGCAGGGATGGATGGGAGATTGGGAATTGGGAATTCCTGGCTGGCAGAATGGGGAGAGCCTGGAATAGAATTCCCAGAGAAGCTGTGGCTGCCCCTGGATCCCTGCAAGTGCCCAAGGCCAGGCTGGACAGGGTTTGGAGCAGCCTGGGACAGGGGAAGGTGTCCCTGCCATGGCAGGGGTGGCACTGAATGGATTTTAAAGATCCCTTCCAACCCAAACCAGCCTGGAATTTGTGATTCACCCCAGCAGAGCTGTTCCAGTGCACTCAGGTGTTAGAAACAGGCATGGAATGAACTCCCCACTTCAGAACAGCAGTGTCTGAGGCCAAAAGCAGCACGGGCAGGTCCTGCTGCACAAAAGCTCCATCTCAGAGCCACCCAGCACCTCCACAAGCCTCTGCTCTGGTCCAGAGGAGCAATATGGGAGCTCCCTCTGCTGCCTTGTCCACCCTGCACACGGGGTGCACCCCCTCCCTCAGCCTGGAATGGCTGAAACCAGCAAGGAATGGCTGCTCCCTAAAAATCTGCAGCAGTTTTGGGGGGTGTTTAATGGCATTTCACACAAGCTGCGATGTCCCAGATCTCCCAGGGATGGGATGAAAGGAAACAACCTCCAGATACACCACGGGGAGGTTTAGATTGGATATTAGGGGGAAATTTCTTCATGGAAAGGGGTGTCCAACCCTGGCACAGGCTGCTCAGAGAGATTTATAGATTTAAAATCCATATGGATGTGGCACCTGGGGACATGGGTCAGTGGTGGCTTTGGGAGAACAGCTGGCCTGGGTGGTCTTAGAGGGCTTTTCCAACCTGAATGAATCCGTGCTCCTAAGCTGCAAGGCTGGTAATTCTTTTCTTCCTGCTAGGTGATTAAGTAGATGTGATTAAATTTTAATTAAGCAACACGTGGTGGCATTGATTGCCCCGCAGGAGTCACCTCCCCTCGAAGGTTCCTTCACCACAGGAGCCTTCCTTTCCCCTGCCTGTCCCTCAGACAGGAATTCTGGAGGGATGCTGGCTGGAGGAGGTGCTCTCCAGCTCGGAATGGGGATCCCAGCAGCACTGAGCTCCCAGGAATGTTCATCCCTGTTTGTTGCAGCTTTTCCCTTCCCACTGCAGCTCATCCTCACAGCTCATCCTCGCTGCAATGCTCCTCTGAGCTGCACAGCTTTGGTCAGTGCCAGTGGAGAACTCAGCACAGCTTTTTAGAGCTCTTCCAGGAGTAGAACATGAAGAAATCTTCCATGAGAGTTTGAGAATGTTCGTCTAAGAGTAAAATCTCTCTTCCCAAGCTGCTCTGCCAGTCCTGGACCTGCAGGATTCAGTGTGAAGGAGCAGCCAGCTTTCAAATAAATCCAGCCTGAACTCTCCTCCGTGCTGTGCTGCAGGGAAGGTCAGCAGAGGCCTCAGGCACCAGCAAACCACAGACTTGTGCTTCCCTGCAGGGATACTGCAATGTGATCCCTTGGGGAACGAGCTGAGAGTGCAAGAGGTGCCTTAATGTGGAGCCTGGATTGATTTATTTATCTCCTTCCCCTGGAACTTCCCTCCCTCAGAGCTCATCCCCAGCCAGTGGTGAAAAGGGAATTCTGCATGGTCCATGCAGCTGATGGGCATCTCCAACAGATCCTCAGGGATGAGGCTGGGGGAGGTGCTGTGTTCATTCCTCCAGGAAAAAGCAGCTGCCAGGGTCACTCCTCGCCCAGGACTGCTGAGTGCAGCTGCCCCAGAGCCAGCCCCAGAACCTGGCTGCATTCCAAGGCTGGAGAGGGCAGCTGTGGATCTGTGGAAGTTGGCGTTTGCTCTGCATGGAGCTCACGAGCTGCCATGTGGAATCTGGCTTAATTAAAGGCAGGGCATGGAGCTGCCCTCCTGCTTTGAGTAATTACTCAATTTATGTGTTAATGTGTTAATGATTTTGGGCTAAACAAAGCTTGCTCAGAGAGACTGTGGATTCCCCATCCCTGGAAGAGTCCAAGGCCAGGTTGGATGGGGATTGGAGCAACCTGAGATAGTGAAAGGTGTCCCTGCCCTGGCAGGAACGAGTTTAGGGTTGGATCAGGGATTTGGATTGGAAAAACCCAAAAAAACCTGCTGGGATTCTGTGTTGCCATTCACCAGGTTTTGAAAGATCTGGATTCTGGTGTGTGATGCTGGTTCTGCCTGTCCCTGTTCCCTGGAGTCCCCGTGACCCTGCTGTCCTTGTCCCCCGCAGGTGGTGCGGGACCAGATCTCGCACTGCACGGTGAAGCTGCGCCAGACCACGGGGCTGATGGAATATTGCCTGGAGGTCATCAAGGAGAACGACCCCAGCGGCTTCCTGCAGGTGGGTGTGGAGCCTGGGGGATGCAGCAGGGCTGGGGCTGCTCCAGGGGGGATAAAACCAAGGATCTGCCTCTGATCCCCTGCACCTTGACAGCAGGGTGGGAGGGGAGGGTTGCAGCAGGGATCACAAGGTGCTCCTGGCTCTCCACTGAGAGACCCAACAGACAGCCCTTGGGAGCTGCATCCCAGCTCCCATTCCTGGGCTCCCTTTGGCACTAAACCCCGCACCCAGCGCTCCAGGGTTCCCTTCTCCAGCCCATCCTGCAGCAAAGAGCGATGCTGGAAACCACGGGTGACATCCCAGAGCCGGGGACAGCAGGGTGGGGACGAGGCCTGGGACACATCCCACTGCAGCTGAGGCTTCTCCTCCCCTGCAGATCTCAGATGCTCTCATCAGGAGGGTGCACCTGACCGAGGAGCAGTGGGGCAAGGGGACGCTCACCCCACGCATGACCACGGACTTCGACCTGAACCTCGACAACGCCCCTCTGCTGCAGTCCATCCACCAGCTCGACTTCGTCCAGATGAAAGGTAAAGATCTTTCCAGTGCCTTCCCAGAGCTCAGCTCTGCTCCTGCTGGGAGTTTCCATGCAGCTCATCCCAAGGAAAGAGCAGAAAAGAAGAGTTTCTCATCTCCCAGCAAGACTGGACACCCCAGACCCAAAGTTATGCCTGTTCTTGTGTGTTTTGGCATCCCTGTGCCAGAGCAGGGTGCCAGGAGTTTGGCTTTGCCTGGAAAAGCACTCCTACTGCATTAAAAAGTTATTAGTGCATTAAAAAGTGCTCTGATAAAGTTATTAGTGCATCAAAAAGTGCTCTGATAAAGTTATTAGTGCATTGAAAAGTGCTCTGATAAAGTTATTAGTGCATCAAAAAGTGCTCTGATAAAGTTATTAGTGCATTGAAAGTGCTCTGACAGTTATTGGTGCACTGAAAAGTGCTCTGCAGGTTGGGACCTCTCTTTTGAGAGCAGCACAAGGCTTTTCCCAAGCCTCTCCTCACATCCCCACGCTCGTTCAGTGCTGAGCAGCATCTGTCTCAGACCAGATGTCCCTCCAAACACAGCCAGGTCACTTAGCCTGGGCTCTGCCCTCCCTCTCCTCACCTCACTGTTGGTTTGGTTCATCATTTTGGATTTAATTTCATCCCTGTTCCCCATTCCCTCTGTGCTCCTGCTGTCCCACCAAGGGCTGCTGCAGCCTGTGAGGAATCTGGGAAGCTGACAAAGAGGGGCTGTGACATGGGGAGGCTCAGGAGGACACTGGATCTGAGCTGCACCTTCACCAGCTCTGGCACCGCCCTTCATTCCCATCACAGCCAGAATTCCTGGCCCAGGAACACAGCAGGGTGTCTCAGTGGCCAGGGACAGGAAGGATGTTGGCCACACTCGTGTGTGTCACCACCAGGAGCATCCTCAGCTGCTGGCCCTGCTGGTGGCAGGGAGGAGCTGGCCGTGCTTGCTCTTCGTTAGCCAGGCTGTTAATTTGAAATGTCAGGAATATTTCTGGGTAGCAAACCCAGGGAGGGCTGGATTGCTGCTTCACACTCCTGTGTTCCTGCCCTCCCTTCCTGCAATTTAGCCCAGAGGGTTATTTTTAATTAATAAGAGCAAATCTGCTGCTGGTTGAGCCGCCCACCCTCCTCTTAGCAAATTCCTCCTCCCAGCTCACCCTCGCTGTGGAAATCAGTTGTTGGTTTTGTGGACTTGCAGGAGGTTGGGTTTGGATCCCAAATCTGTGTCACAGCACCAGGGGAGGGAGGGCAGCACCTGAGGCCTCAATAAAGAGCAGTGAGCAGTAGGTACCCACACCCACTGCCAGCCTGCAGGATCCAGCCCAGGAGGTGGAGGAGTCGCAGAGGGTGAATGCTGAGCCTCTGCCAGCAAGTCCAGCTTTTTCCTCAGGCATCCATGGCTCCTCCCCATCTTGCCTGGGTTCTCCATGCCAATTTCCACTGGTTCTTACCACTTTGGGCAGTGAGGATGAGGATGGATCTCTGTTGAGAGATGGGACATGTCCCTGTCAGGCTGTCACTCTCCCCTGTGACAGAGCAGGAGTGGGCTGTGGGACACATACAGAAAAACCCCTGGCAGTCCTTTCTGCCCCCTGTGCAGCTGCTGGGAGCCAAAAGGGGTACTCAGCCCCCCTGTTGGATTTATTGAATTCCAAAGCAGGGCTGTAGGTAAGTCCAGAGCCAGGTTCTGCTGAGCTGTGGGAGAAACATCTCAGCTTTGGGACTCCAGGCAGCTCAGAACAGGCAGATTGTGCTGCCATCATTCTCCTACATTAATTAGAAAACTGGAATAAAGCAGAAAAGCTTCACCAGGCTGGCAGGGGGCAGGAATTTGGTGGAGCTTGGTGGGAGAACAATCCTTTCTGCCTCCTTCCCACCGAGGCAGTAAAAGCACCCCGCACCCCCCAGGGTTGCGCTAATTGCACTAATTGGTGATTAGTCTCCTCCCCAGTGCCGGCCCCGCCGATCCTGCAGCTGGAGGAGTGCTGCACCCACAACAACAGTGCCACTCTGTCCTGGAAGCAGCCCCCTCTGTCCACGGTGCAGGTGGAAGGATACATCCTGGAGCTGGACGATGGCAACGGCGGCCAGTTCAGGGTAGGTGCTCGGGGCCAGCCCTGTGGGAAGGGGATGTTCTTCTCCAGTCATTCCCTGCCAGCAGCTGAGCACAGAATTAATTTAGGGAAGCGGATGGGGCAGACAAGCTGTGGGGTTTTGGGGTACAGGGTGGTTTGAGGTGGTGCAAATGCTGAGTTGGAAAATTAAAGAACAAGTTTGAAGCTCTTGTTAGCCAGAGAAGCTGTGGCTGCCCCTGGATCTCTGGAAGTGCCCAAGGCCAGGCTGGAGAGGGCTTGGAGCAGCCTGGGACAGGGGAAGGTGTCCCTGCCATGGCAGGGTTTGGAGTGGGATGATCTTTAGGGTCTCTTCCAACCCAAACCATTCCATGATTCCATGAAGCTCCCTATTTTTAGGTTGCTGGATATTTCATGCAAGGTGTGCTAATTGCCATGAAAGCCTCATGGTTTGCCAGCTGACAGCAAGCAGAGGTGTTTAAGGCCTGAGGGTTTTTAAATTGCTGTAATTACACAATTAAAATATGATTTTTCTGTGATCCGACACGCCAATAATTATCCTGGTGTGTTCACATCCACTGAGAGCAGGCACAGGAGCAGCCCACTGCACTCTGAATTTATCCACAAGGAGCTCAGGCAGGCAGGAGCCAGAGCAGGGCTGAGGCAAAGGAGAGGTGAGGTGGGAGCTGGAGAGAAGGGGTCTGGGGAGAACGAGGTCAGTGCCTTCCCAATATCCCATCCATCCCTGCCCTCTGGCACTGGCAGCCATCCCCTGTGTCCTGTCCCTCCATCCCTTGTCCCCAGTCCCTCTCCAGCTCTTCTGGAGCCCCTTTAGGCTCTGGAAGGGGCTCTGAGGTGTTCTTGGAGCTTTTTCCAGGGGAGCATTCCCAGCTCTCCCAGCCTGGCTCCAGAGCAGAGGGGCTCCAGTCCTTGGAGCAGCTCCAGGGCCTCCTCTGGACTCTCTCCAGCAGCTCCACATGCTCCTGATGCTGGAGCCCCCGAGCTGGGGGCAGAGCTCAGGTGGGATCTCAACCAAGCAGAGCAGAGGGGCAGAACCCCTGCTCCTCCTGCCGGTGCCCAAGGAACAAATCCCGTTTTGTGTCCTGCAGTCCCAGGGGGCAGAGCAGGGGCTCCTGTGCAGCCCTGGCATTTCCCTTTGCCTTGCAGGAGGTGTATGTGGGCAAGGAGACCATGTGCACGGTGGATGGGCTGCACTTCAACAGCACCTACAGCGCCCGCGTCAAGGCCTTCAACAAGTCAGGAGTCAGCCCCTACAGCAAGACCCTGGTGCTCCAGACTTCCGAGGGTAAGGAATTGCAACAGCTCAGGACACCCCAGCTCAGCTCCCTGAACAACCCCTGCAGGAACCACCAGCACTGACCACGGGGGGGGAAGTTGTGTCAGGAGCCTCCAGCAGTGCCAGAATTTCCCCCTTAATTTCCCTCTCACCCTTTTCCTTTGATTTCACCCTCTCCTTGATTTTTCTCCTGGGAAGCACAGGGAGAGCTGTTTAAATTTGGGGTTATGTGACACCAGAGGGAAGCTCAGATGTTTTCACTGGTCCCATTTGAAGCAGAACACTGCCAGCATTGCTCCTGAGGGGCTGTGCTTGGCAGGGATTCAGGCCTGGCAGTGCAGGACAGGGAGCAGTGTGGGTGTCCTCCCAGACCAGGGATGCACAGGAGCCCCACAGCATCATCTGCACTCTGAATATTAAACACTGCCTTGCAGGCTGCAGGGGAATCTCCCTGCCTGGCTTTAAGTACATTTGTCACACCAGGCACTTAATCCATTGTGGAAAATTGGTTTATTCCTGACATGCAGGTGGAGAGTGGCAAGGCTGGCCCCGAGGTGGGAGTCGGGAGCTGCAGCTGTGGAGAAAGGGATCAGCCCCCCCAGGCACGTCTGCTGCCCCACAGCCAGGCACAAAACCCTTCTTTGGGAGCTTTCCACGCTTGCTGGAATCCCTTTTCCTTGCTCCCAGACAAAAATCTCTCTTTTCCAAGCCGTGTGAGGATTTTTTCACGGCAGCATCCAGCTGGCTGGCAGCTGGGATCAGAAGGGGACACACACAGCTCATGGGGCTGCTGGTGGGGTGGAAGGAAAGTGAGAGCTTTCCTGCCACAGAGCAGCCCTGGGGGCTTTGAGCAAGGAGAAAAATGGGATTTTTGCTGGAAAAAAACCTAGAAGACAAAAGCAGAGCAAGGCTACGCAGAGGGTTTCTCTTGCTGCCTGCAGGAGATCACCATTCCCATTTGGAAAGGGCAGCAAGGAATGGGATTCATTCAGAGGTAGAGCAGACAGCAAAACTGTGACAAACTTCACAGGAGAGGCAGGGAGGTCACAGCACAGCACAGAGACACATCAGTGCCTGCTGGCAAACTGAGCACCAGCAGCAAAGAAGCTGCACAAGTTCCTCTGGAGATCCTGGGATGGGACAGGCTGGATCCAGCCCCGTGCCAGGTTGGCCAGGACTGTTCCCAAAGCCTGAAGATCAACAGTTCCCAGCCCAGCCTTGGCAGGAAACAGCAGAGCTTTGACTTCTCATCTCATTTGTGCCTCACAGACACAATTTCCTCATCAAAATCAGTTGGGCTTTAAGTTGTCTCAGGCAGGAATTCACAGGGTCCCCACTATGATCTTCCCAGCTCTGATTTCCTCTCAGAGGTGTTCTCACCTTGAGCCAAGCTCAAGCCCAGCTGCAGAATACGAAGGAATCTGGGAGAAAAGAGCTGCTTGTGGTGGCAGCAGGGCCGTGCTTGGGGCTGGTGCTTGCTCCGTGCCACCAGGGAGAAGTTCCACTCTCCTTGGCTGAATTCATTCAGCCTTTTCACTCGAATGAGCTTTTGCATTTGTTATTCCAGGGGAGAAAAAAAGTCAAACGGGCCTGGAGCATTTTGTGCTCTAAGAGGCTGCCTGAGCTCCTTTGGATTCAAAGAGAAATAAATCACATCAGTGTGTGCAGCTTCCGGATATCCGAGTGACTTGTTGAATGGAGCTGCCTTGCACATCACAGCCCTCGCTCAGGCTTTTATTCCTGGCTTTTACAGCAGCATCAGGCCTTTCTCAGAGCTATTTTGTCTGAAGTAGGCTTAGCTTTTCCCTCTGCAGCTTCCTGCAAAGCGATTGTGTGGGAAGAGAGGACAAAAGGAGGGAGAGGCTGGATGTGAAGAGAGCGTCTCTCCCAGCCTGGCGGTCCTGCTCTAAGTGCTGGTGAGGAATTCTGGTACTGAAGAGCTGGTTTGTAGTTCTGAGAGAATCCATGAGATCTGCAGCCTGTGGAAGGGAACTGAAGCCTTTCTTCTGCTTTCTGTGAGCAGAGCAAAAGGTCTTGCAGAGCCTCAGCGTGTGAAGAGAAGAAGGTTGAGAAGAAGGGGATGTGTCAGGGGCTCTGTGCCAAGCAGCCACAGGGAGCTGGGCAGCACCAGTGGAAAATGCCATGGGAAGGCAGCACGTGCAGCAGTGCACAGCAGGAACTCCTTCCCAGCCGTGCTGAGAGCTGCTCATCCCAAAGGAAGCTGTTGCAGGTCGCTCTTCAGAGCTGGTCCTTGGTGCCACCAGCAGGACAAGGTGGTTCCTGGCGGGGAGGTTTGTGCTCCCCACGTGCTGGGGCTTCCCAGGGATGAAGATCCTGTCACCAGCACAGCCAAGGTGCAGCGAGGGTTGAAGGTGACATCCTTCCCTTGAACTGTGTCCCCTCCTGAGCTGATTTTGGGCTTTTCCACACAATCCCTGGGAGTGTCTCTTGTTCTGTCACACCTTAGCCCAAGGCTCTGCCTTCACCTCTGTTTCTCCAGCACCTGAATGAAGCTGTGGGCTGGGAGGTGAGTGTGGGAAAAAGTTTCCAAGGTGACCCAGGGCACAGACATGTCCCAAAGCTTGGCTGGTGGCAGCCCTGCTTGGCTGTCTTGACCCCTGGGAGACCTGGGGTCTCTCCCAGCCTCCTCCTTTTCCTCCTCCCTGAGCTGGGCAGCCCCTGCTCTCCTGGTTTTCCCTTGTCCAGCAGATTTCCCAGCCTCTGGCCAGTCTCCTGCTGGCTTCTTTCCATGTTCTGCCCAGCAAGCTGGATGTCAGGATGAAGGACCAGCTCACTCCAGGTGGAGATGGAGAAATGGAGCTCAGCGGTGCCTCCCAGGCTTTTCTCCAGGCAGAGAACTTCCACCTCCCTTCCCCAGCCAAGCCAAGCACCAGAACCTTTCCTTTCCATCCCAGCTCCTCATCTGGAACCCAACTTTAAATTCCTGACCATCCATGGAGTGACCCTGAGCAGCAACCAGGGCTTTTTAACCAGCAGCTTTTGGAAAGGGTGAACATCCCAAGGGGGAAAAGTCTTCAAGGAGCTACAGGGACGTGGGAGGCTGCTTAGGGAGAGCCATGGGCACGCTACTCATGGTAGTGGTTCCTCTCACCCTTGGAAGGGTTAGAAGCTGTTCCTCCCTAACTTTGAGCTCTGATTATTGACTGTTGTGCAATAATTTATCTCCTCTGACCCCACTGACGCCCTTTGCTTCCACAGCCTCGGCAGCAGCAGCGAGTTGCAGAGGTTACAACCCACCATGCAGAGAAATATTCCCTTTTTATCTGTTTTACCACAATTCCCAGCTCAATCCATACTCAAAGCAGAGCTGGCAAGGCTGGGGGATACAGTGTGAGTGTGTGGATGGTGGATTCTGCATTTTCATGTTAACACAATCCTGGATAAAAGGCTAGGGAAGAAATTGCAGGAGGTGACTGTTTGTGGTAGCAGGGAACAGAATGACCCACGAGGTTCCCTCTGCTCTGACATTTTGCTGAATGAATTTTCGTGAATCCCACAAGTTAAATTCTTGCTGTAAGGCTCAGATGTGTTTTGACAGGTACAAAGGGATTCCAAGAACACAACCTCCTGAACAGCCCTTGAGTAAGGTGGGTGCTTGGTGGTTCTTAGGGTGATAGAGCTTAGCCCAGCCCTGCAAAATGTCACCAGCTGGGTTTTTCCACCCCTGATAATCGTGCACAAAAAGGTTTGGGATGTGTTAAAGCACGGTGGGACGTGTGCATGGTAACCTGTGAATTTTTTTAGGTGCCTTCTTGTGAAGAGGTGCAGGACCCCCCCCTTTTACAGACAAGCCAGTTGAATTTGTCACGCTGACACGGGGACACTTTGGAAGATGAACGTGTTTTCCTTGCTCAGGCTGCCCTGCAGGGTCTCTCTGGGCTGCCCAGCACCAGCCATTCCTGCCCTGCCAGCGGAGCAGGGTCCGTGCTGCGCTCCGAGGCTCGGGAGCGACGGCGCCCAGCAGAGACCCCATTTCTGATCTGTAGTTTGCGTTGATCTTACGTTTAGACACGCAGTCAGAAGAACAGACCCTCCCTTTTCCAGTGCCTTTGGAAAGATCGCAGCTTCGTAGAATGAGTCCTTTCTCCTCCACCCTTAATCTACAACCCAGCTTCTCGGGGAGATCCTACTTTGAGCTAAGATCTTCGGCCCACCAGCTGAGCTTGCATTCTTCCTTACAGTCCCTGAATTCAGCCGGTGAGCTGAGCACCTCTGGCGTTGCCTCTTGGTCTGTGCTTCTGGGCATCTCCAAACTGTTTGTTCTGTTCCGTTGTGTTTGTTTTTCCCATGACATGCGGATGGCAGCGGGAATTCTTTCTGTGGGTCAGTGCCATGGTTCTGCTGGGATGTGCCAGTTTGAGGTGTGGGGTGATGGAGCAGCGCAGTAATTCCTTACCTGGGTGCTGCTCTTGGCAAGGCTGAACCCTTTGGTGATCATAAATCCCTGAATGGTTTGGGTTGGAAGGGAGCTTAAAGCTCATCCACTTCCAACCTCCTGATGTGGGCAGGGACACTTTCCTCTAGAAGATTCCCCATTCCCAGTTTGTGTTGAGCTCGTGTCAAGGGATAATCAGAAAAAAACCTTCTCTGGGTGAGTGAAACTTGTGGGAATATCCCCATGCTTTCCCTTCCTAACACAACCAGGAACCGCAGCCTCTGCTGGGAGAATTGGTCTGTGAAATTAGTTTGGTTGATTAAATCTGACCCCCGGTAAGAAAGAAGCGGGCAAGAGAGACTGTGAATTCCCCAGCCCTGCAAGTGTCCCAGGCCAGGTTGGACAGGGCTTGGAGCAGCCTGGGGTAGTGGAAGGTGTCCCTGCCCACAGCAGGGGTGTGCAGTGAGGTGATTTGTGTCCCCTCCAACCCAAACCAGTTTGGGATTCTGTGATTCCAGCTCACAGCCCAACTTAGGGCCTGGAGACGCGAGCTCTCTTCCGCTCAGCTTTGAGCGCTGGGCTCGGCTCTTCCAAAGCCAGCTGTGATCATCCCAAAGCCTTGTTTCCTGCAGAGCAGAGGACAGCACTGCCGTGATGCCTCGCTGGCCTGGCAGCCCCAGACAAGCGCTCGGTTCGGATCTGTGCCCGGAATGACGGGCTGTGCTGGGATGTAGGCAGGCCAGAGCCAGGGATGGATTTGGGCAGCCAGTGAGGAGCCACAGAGGTCTCTCAGAGCCGTTTTCTAACCACTCTTTGCACATCTTCTGTTGCTAAAGATCCTGGGCCCTGATTCTTCCACCTCTCTGGATTTACATCGCTCCAAAGGCGTTAATTCCCGGCTTTCTCCGGTGTAAGCCCTGGAAGAATGGGGGCCCCCGATTGTTTGACTTCCATCCCATAACACGGAATGAGGAATGCTGCAGCATGACCCTTGCCAGAATAACCA